TGTTTTACATTGTCATTTCGGGGCCTTTTATAGCTGACTATGCGGTATGGGCTTTGCTCATTGTTGAAGGCCGTACGGTGACCTATAGTTGTTAATTTCTGTGTCATTTGGTCTCTTGTGGAGAGTTGTCTCATTGGCAATCATACCACATCTTCTTTTTTTATATGATAATTGAAAGCAATATTGGTGAACAGTTACTGATATAAATAATGTTTATGGCCGGCAGAATATTAATAATTCCCAAGTCAAAGTGGACAGCAGTTCTTTAGCAGTTTATTAGCATTCACAGTTCTTACTCGACAGCTGTTCTTTAGCAGTTCATTAGCATTCACAGTTGCCAAATTCAAGGCAATAGTTAATATGCATATAGGCATTCCAATAGCATTCCATAGCAGTTCCTTAGCAGTTTATTTAGCCTTCACAGTTATTTAGCAGTTATTTTTGACGAAAAATTTAAATGAGATACTCAAAAACTGCTATCTTCTCTGAATATTCATGAGAACTGCTATAATAACAGCTATCAATATTGAATATTCATAGAAACTGCTAAGTTGTACATCTTAATATGGTTTTCTAAACTGCTAATAACTGCTATGGAATGGAATGCTGTCCCAAGTCAGGAGCCTCTTGCCTTTGTTAGTCTTGTATGTTTTTTAGTTTTAGTTCATTTATATGTTTTGGAGTTTAGTGTGCCGTCCATTTTCACTGAACTAGCACACAATTTTATTTAGGGGACAGCTGAGGACCACCTCCGGGTGCTGGATTTTCTCGCTGCATTGAAGACCCATTGGTGGCCTTCGGCTGTTGTCTGCTCTTTGGTCGGGTCGTTGTCTCTTTGACATATTCCCCATTTCCATTCTCAATTTTATTATCAGATCTGTCAAAAGTTGGAATACAAAGGTACACATGAATATACAGTGTACAAGATATGAATGCAAAAATAAAATTCTAATATTTTACTGCAAGTCTTGTTGAAATTTCAAAAAGTTGTACCAACTTATATTTGTAATTTGAGCAGTAACTGCAATCAAATGACTCTATTTTAATCCAATAACAGACTTGTTAAGGGCTGTAAACATGCTTTGTGAGTACTGTACCTGGCCTTATACCCCTTATTAATTATGTCAGTGGCAGAATAATAGGAACTGTTAAGAATTATAATGCACTTTAAATATCAGTGCTTATAAAAAGCAACTTATTCAATAAGAGTGGTTACTTAAGAGACTATTTATTACCAGTTGACTAAGTAATTTTCAGATTAAAAGTTATTTTATTTTTATTATTATTTAATTACCAAATGTACTACTAGTTTCTCTTCTACTATATATATTTTGTGTGGACCAACAGAAAACAGTTATCTCCTCTTTCTCTTTTGGAATTAAACAAAACAATTCTTAATACATGTAATATATTATGTTTCCACTTTCTGAAACAAACTTAAGTAACATGTCATATATTAACTTCATTAAGTGGATTGTTTGGTCAATATTAAACAATCAGCTAAATGTGACCTAGGTTTCCCTAATATTCCCTCCCCCTTTTTCAACTCTTGAATATGATTTATTTTTGTTTTTTTTACAAAATTATATTAAGACATTCATATTTTTATTTTCAAATAACATCTTGCACTGTTAGTATATGCTAGTATTTCATTACAATCCTATCATCATCAGATATTCAATTTGGATAAACAACTATCCCCCCTTTTTGGGGGCTTTCTGTAATATTTCTTTTTTTCCTCACAAAGTTATGTCAGAAAATACACATACATTATCTGTAACTTCAACTTACTGTACTGCAGGTGTGAGAAATTATTCCATTTAGCCCAAATTAAACTTTATAATTGACAAAAATACAGTTTTTCACTAGCAAAGTATTTACACACAGCTTTGGGCCAAAATGCACATTTGAAAATGATCAAATAACCTTCAAATAAAGGTTTACTATCAAGCTGAAAACACAGCCAGATCCAAGCATTTTTATAACAAAGATTAAAACCAAAACTGCTATCAAACTGCTATTTAACTGCTGTCATAACTGTTGTCCAATTGTCAAATTGATAACAGTTTAAAAGGAAGATCCAGACTGCTAAGATGAATGATAAGATGAATGCTAAGAGGAATGCTAAGAAATAGTGAAATAAGGCAGTTTCTCAAACTGCTATTAGATGGAATGCTATGAACAGCTGAAAGACTGCTAAAAATATGAAGAACTGGTAAATAACAGCTAATAAACTGCTAATGATAGCAGTTCAGTTTGACTTATTAATATTTCTTTTTCTGCACCAATCAACAGTGCAAGCATGTCCTTTTTTATTCAAACAATTCAATCATCACCAAAAATCAGTAGTTTTCACATCTCAGACTGGCTCCATTATAACAATATGTACAGTATCAGGAACATATATATTATCTGTAGTTTTGATACCTCAGGCTGACCCCTGAGACTACAGTAAAGTAGTCTCAGCTGACTCGTACAACAAAATTTTTTGAACGCATCAACCAAAACTGACCATATTTGCACTTTATTAAAAAATTGAGAATGTGTCAATACGATTATTTATATAGCCGCCTAAAAAATTTTTAAATATTTTTATGTCATGATAGATTGTATAATACAAAATAATGACAGCAACATTGGAACACAATGACAACAAAAATGTGTCCCCCTAAATCTAGATTGCCATCATGTCCTCTTTTTATTCAAAATATTGTCTTGCAACAAAATTTCAGTAGTTTTGATACCTCAGGCTGACTTGTATAACAAAATTATTTTAACGCATCAACCAAAACTGACCATATTTGCACTTTATTATGTATATTTATATAGCCGAATGGTAAATCAGCAATATTTTATTGTCAGAATGGATTGTATAATACAAATGAGAGCAACATTGCATTACAATGACAACAAAAAATTGTCCCAATCAGTCTAGATTGCCAGCATGTCCTCTTTAATTTTATTCAAAATATCCAAAACTGACCATATTTGCACTTTATTATGTAAATCTATATAGCCGCATAGTAAATCAGCAATATTTTGATGTCAGGATGGATTGTATAAAACAAATAACAGCAACATTGCAATACAATGACAACAAAAATTTGTTAGCATCAATCTAGATAGCCATCATGTCCTCTTTTTATTCAAAATATTGTCCCGCAACAAAATTTCAGTAGTTTTGATACCTCAGGCTGACTCGTATAACAAAGTTATTTGACTCTTCAACCAAAACTGACAATATTTGCACTTTTTTATGTAAATCTATATAGCCATATAGTAAATCAGCAATATTTTGATGTCAGGATAGATTGTATAATACAAATGACAGCAACATTGCAATACCATGACAACAAAAATTTGTCCCCATCAATCTACATAGCCAGCATGTCCTCGTTTTATTCAAAATATTGTCTCGCAACAAAATTGCAGTAGTTTTGATACCTCAGGCTGACTTGTATAACAAAATTATTTTAACATATCAACCATAACCGACCATATTTGCACTTTATTATGTAAATCTATATAGCCGCATGGTAAATCAGCAATATTTTGATGTCAGGATGGATTGTATAATACAAATGACAGCAACATTGCAATACAATGACAACAAATATTTGTCCCCATCAATCTACATAGGCAGAATGTCCTCTTTTTATTCAAAATATTGTCTCGCAACAAAATTTCAGTAATTTTGATACCTCTGGCTGACTATTATAACAAAATTATTTGACAGCATCGACCAAAACTGACCATGCTGACCATATTTGCACTTAATTATGTAATTATATATAGCAGCATTATAATGCAGTAATATTTTTATGTCAGGATGGCTTGTATAATACAAATGACAGCAATATTGGAACACAATCACTACAAAATTGTGAATGTCCGCATCAATTTTGAGTGGCAGCATTGCAGCTCTGTATTTGTAATATTGAACTGTCAATAAAGTCAGTAGTTCAGGATGGTTTGTACAATATTAAAACTATTCAACCACATCATCCAACACTGACATGACAGATTTCATTTGTATTCAAAATTGCACTATGCTCCTGTCTCATTAATAAATATTCAACATTGCATTATGCTCATAAGCATATGAAAGTCAAAGAGTAAACGACGAAAAAACATGAAAAAGGGGGGTTGTTACTTAATCTTTGCTCTTTACTGTACCTTTGGTGTATTTAGCAAAACCTTTCGAAAATTTTGATCCTCATGCTCTTCAACTTTTGTAGACAAAACGCGCGTTTGGTTTAAAAAATGTTTTTCCTGATATCTATGATGAGTTTATTAACTTTTTTGATTCATATAAAAAAGTATGATACTTATATTAGGGCACAGGCGTTATAACAACATTACCGCCTGTGTGACTTCATAAACAACTTTATTAGTAACTGTTCATATTGCCGATGTCGCCATTTCCGGAATCCGGGTCCGTTCGCGCCCAATCACGTTCGCCCCCATGCACGTTCGCCCCCTTTCACTTTTACAACCTACACGTTCGCACCCAAAATCCGTTCGCACCCTACACGTTCGCGCCCAATTTTTATTGGTTTTGTGTTTAACAATTTGTAAACGAGTTTTGGTAAGTGTATTGCTATAAATATATATTTTTGAATAAAAAAAAAGGGTGCGAACGTGTAGGGTGCGAACGGACCTAGGGGCGAACGTGTAGTGTGTGAACGTGTATTGGGCGCAAATGGACCCGATACCCCATTTCCGGGAACAGTACTCCAAAATCTCGCTAAAGCAACTTTCGTCACAGGCATGCAAAAAATGATCAAAACTAATTTCATATAAATTCGAATAGATTTTAATTGTTTAATCTTTACTCATGGTGTTGAACTCTTGTGTCTGGCCTGTATGACTGCCTGTAGCATCATCGGTCGAAGAACTGCCTGATGTAATCTGTTCTTCAATGTCAATTTTCTGCGAATGTTGCATGAAAGATGTATCAAACTTGGGAATTTCTGTTTCGCTGAGGTTTCTTTTTCCACCTTTCTTACTTGTTTTTCCTTATAAAAAGGCAATGAATTCTTCAACCTCTTTAGACTTGTGTATCATTTCATTTGCAATTATTTCGATATCCTCAGAATCGGCATCAGGAATTTTCTTCTTCAATCGATTCTTTATGACATCTTTTGAGTGTTTAATCTTTTTCTGTACTTCGTTCTTATCTTTATTTATTTTTTTTATTTCTACTGAAGAACTGGTATTACATTTTTCTCCTAGGCTTTTACATGTAATGGCTGAACTTTTTTCTTCCAAATCTTTTATTTGTTTTCGATATTGTAAATAGTTGTCTATAATATTATACTTCTCGTCTCCTTCCTGTAAATCTATACGAATTATTTTAATTACTGCATTGATTACCGAACGTTCCTGACAGTTATCAAGAATATCAATAAATCTTTGTTCAAGATCACAATTTTTCCAATAAAAAGTACATTCGCCTTTGCTTTCATCTTCATCTTCATTAGCCAAACATGTACCCCCTTTGACGTCGTTATCAAACAAAATGTATATTTCTTTTTTCATCTTTTTGCAGAATTCTTTCTTTTTGCGTCCGTTACCCGAACCTGACGATTCACGAATATCAGTTGCAAGAAGAAAATGTTTTTGTTTCATCGAAATCCTTTTGTCTCCAGAAATTTTGTCATCGTGAATTAGCAAACAAAATATAGCCTCTTCTACTATTTTGTCAGTTTTACCTTCAACGAAAAGAATTCTGGAAGAAAAAAGGAGATTAGTCATTTCATGGATTTGTTCGGTTTTACACAGTTTGTCGTAACCTTGTGGTACTTTACAGATAGAATGACAGATGGTTTCATTCAGAATTGATTTTGATGATACAAATGTTCTTGACATGGCCCATTTATCGATCAACGAAGGATTGTGGGTAATTATTAGAACGGTTTTTCCAGTTATACGCCTGAGAATTAAATCACGCATTTTCTTGATCATGTGCGGATGCATACCTCGATCCGGTTCCTCAATAGTCATTGTTGAAAATTCTTTGTGTGCAAGAATAAGTGTTAACTCCTTTGCTTCAAGAATACCTTCTGGTGTTTTTAAAAGTCGCTTTGGTGACAAGTCTTTCCTTTCAGTGGTGCTTACTTCAATTCTTCCATCATGTCTAACAACTTCATAGGGATGTACGATATGATCATGAAAGATTTTTTCTCGTTTATTATCAACTATGTCATTATCAATAAGATTAAATAAAATTTCTGCGCGACGATCAGCAGTTTCATATAACCTCTCTCTGTTGTCCTGTTGGTTCAACTCACTTTTGGTCCACTGCAGAGGACCGATTGATCGCATTGGCAATATACCAACATAACCTTTTTCTAGCCAATCATAAAGTGTATTCATGATGGCTTCATCAGAAGTATCGGAAGCAGTAGATTCAAAGTCGTTCGCAATGATTTTATAAAAATTATGTATACTTATTTTGGTGCCTGGATCCTTTACATCTTCTATAGACGATTTGTCTAGTGTTTTTCGTTTGCAGTCTTTTCTTTCGAGTTGATCTGTATAGCACACATAGGATCCAATAAATTTTTGTGCAAAGGTCCGAATAGAACCTGTACTAGATATTGAACAGATGACCTTATAACAGTCCTAGCCATTTGCCTGGCCAATTGCTCTATTTTCGGGCTGACTTCCATGGCTCTTGATGAAAATGCATGAAACAATCTCCTTCGGTTGTTCTTCTTTCGAAGGAAAAAGCTCCGGTTTTTCTATCGAAGGATAATGCTCTGGTATTGTGAAATGACAAACAGCATATGCCAATTCATTTTCGTTATATACGGAAGTCGTTGTTGTATTCATTTTGTTGGAATAACATCGGCGAATTAATTCAAATAAGGCTGTTTTTCCAGTCGAATTGCCTCCTATTAAAAAATTTGCACCTTCCTCAAAAACAAGTCGCTGTTCTTCATAAAAATGCACAAAATTGTGCATTGCAATTGATCGTATCATCGCGTTACAACTTTCCTAACGCTGAAATTGAAACAGTTTATCTTATAATTTGTATTTCAAATTTTCTTATGTTCATTTTGTATAGAGAAAATAGCATAGGAAGATAGTAACATTGATATTCAAAAATATTTTAGAAACGTTTAGAAAGCATTATGTATATACGAAATCGAAAGATATTTCTACACCAATTTTTACAGTGTTCCTTATTTAGCATGATACTTATGTTTACCTAAATCTACTCATTTCCCTCAACCAAATTTACGAATACGCCGATCTGCTTATTGTTAAGGGATCGTTTTATATAAAAGATTTTTTTGCATAAATATACGGATATAAAAGTGATGGCTAATAAAATTATAAGTAGTGTCTGTTGAAAGATTATAGTATATTACAACCAATATCTAGATCAGGCCGTTCCGATTGTATTTGGTAGCGGAGAATTGGAGTGGTCTAGTTACGTATACAGTCAGTAAAACTGAATTCAGATTAGAAAACTAATTGATTCTTAGCAACATTTCAAAACCAATTTTACACGACTTTCTATAACCTGCAATATTCTCATTGTTCGAACTAGGAGGGAAAAATAGTATATGGTCGTTCTATGTCTACTGGTATTTGCTTTCATTTTTACTATTTTTAGGTTTTCCAGCGATTTTAATATATTAAAAAAACTCATCATAGATACGATAAATAGCGTCCTTGTGAAAAACTTCTGAATTTGTCGAAAAATAAATTTTATAGATAATAATGAACGTTGTATGATTCTGTCACTGGTGAACAGTTGTATCAATCGTTCCTGATACTTCGGAATGTTTAGAATATTCCGAAACAAGGGAAAATATATATCGGGTTATGACCAGTTTGAATTTTAATAAATTTGTCTCGTGTAATCTCCATTTCCTTTCGTAACATTCAAATCAGCATTTTCCATCAAACCATAAGAGATACAGATTCTGCCATTTATCCTCGTTTAGTACAATATTCATCCACCCTCAATAGTTAACTTTTAAAATTTGAAATTTTCGAGTGGATAAATTTTGTAATAAAGAATTCCAAATGAGGCAGATTTGCTCTTAAGTGTTTTGATGGTCCTTTAAATTTGGTTGACAGTTTTGACTTTTCTTCTCTCTACACTACACTTCTTATTAAACAAAAGTTTTACTTTTTAATGAATTGATCCTTTGATAAATCTGAATTCAAATGTATTTGCTGCAACTCGTATAAAGCTTTCTTCTGTAATGAAAAGGTAAGATATACTTACTGGAAGTGTGAAGAGATGAAAAAAGCTGTAAATGTTCTCCTTTTCATTAATATGGATTTGAAATTTACCCAAAAGAACTCACTTTAAATAAATCTGATACAAACAACAAAAACCTGCCCTTTCCTAGATTTAAATATCTCAGTTTACACGGGAAACTATATACTAAAATTTACGACAAAAAGGGACAATTTTTCGTTCCTTATTGTTCATTTTCCTTTTTTTGGACTCCTTCGGCTACATCTTTAGGTGTTTATAAATCCCAAATCTTTCGCTATGTCCGTGTCTGTAGCGACGTTATACATTTCAATGAATGTGATATGTGTATCACTGGTAAATTATAAAGTCAACGATTTCATTGCCACAAATCACGTAAAACCGTTGCTAAATTTTTTTATATATACAAATATTTGGTATGGAAGTTTGGTTGTACCTGTAAAAAACTTATAACTTACGGGATTTCACATCCTCAATTTTAAGGTGATGTTTTAAGAGTCCGTAAATTTAGACACGATCCATGTAAAACTTATCGATCCTTTGAATAAACTTATTCTCTAAGGTTTTCAATCTAACATTGTAATGGATCTTTGAATATTGTTTCCATCGATTTTAACATTTGTTTTCTTATCAATGAATTAAAAAATAATTTAATATGTATTGCTATACAGTTCATTCCCTATTGTTAATTTTCCTTTTTTAGACGGCGATGTTCCTTTGGCTCCATCATACGGTGTTTATATATATCAACTAGTTCGTTATCGTCATAGATTTTAACGAACGTAATCAATGCATCACTGGTAAATTATTTAGTCAGGGATTTCGTTACCATAAATTACGTAAAACTTTTACTAAATTCTTTCATAGAAACAAAGATTTGATTAGTAAATTTGGCTGTACCTGTAGAAAACTGATTAAAACGGTATTTCACATCCTAAATTTTACGGTAATATTGTACTTAAAGCGGGGAAATCACTATGTGATCCGTGTTAACTCATCGAACCTTTAAACAAAATTATTAGTAAAGGTTATCTTACCAATGTTGTAATTAGATCTTTGAATATAGTTTACATTGGCACTAATGTCGATTTTGTCATCAGCAAATTAAGACATAACTAAATTTGTATTCTTTTCAAACGGGATGTATAAAGACACACCCTCGTTCATTTTGATCTATAAAGAGGTTAACTCCTAACTATCCTACTGCCTGTCGATACATTTATTTTTGGCATTGCACAAGTCATGTCTTCTTTGACTGTCCATGACGTTAAAATACTAAATCCCTGGGATGTGTTTTAGTTGATTTTAGTCTCTGATGCATGATTTTTTATTATTAATTGTTTTTGGCTTTTAACTAGCTGTCAGTAACTGCGAGTACTCTCAAATCGTACTTTCTTGTTTATTTGACATGTTGATACTAATTGTAATGCTTTTTTGTTATTTAATGTTATTCAGGGTTATATCTGGTCTATATACCAGCTTTGATAAGTGTTTGGTATTACTATAAATTTTCACTTCGTACTATGAACATCAAAATTATTTATTTTGTAAAAATATTTCCTTTCTCTTTTTGAACTGTACACGTATACCTAACAACAAAATTATTTTCATTTACCTGTGTTTAAAGTAATTGCAAATGGCTGATATTTTTGTTCGAGCATATTGTTTCTCTTAAATTGTTTAACATTTCACAGCGATATAACATGTTACTTTTATTATTCTTCGCTTACTTTATTTATTTTGTATTTACATTGTATCATAGATCAAATTTATTTGTTCAGTGTATGTTCACTGGTGTTAATATGTTCTTTGATGGAGTTAAGCCATTTCAGTTGATATTTTACAGTGTGTCTTTCTATGTTGTGATGTTACACTATTGTTTCAGATAAGGGTGAAGGTTTGGTACCATTAAAACGTTTAAACCCGCTGCAATTGTTTGCACCTGTCCTAAGTCAGGAATCTGATGTTCAGTAGTTGTCGTTAGTTGATGTGGTTTATAAGTGTTTCTCGTTTCTCGTTTTTTATACAGATTAGACCGTGGGTTTTTCCGTTTGAATGGTTTTACACTAGTAATTTTTTGGGGCCCTTTATAGCTTGCTGTTCGATGTGAGCCAAGGCTCCGCGTTGAAGAACCTACTTTGACCTATAATGGTTTACTTTTATAAATTTTGACTTTGATGGAGAGTTGTCTCACTGGCACTCATACCACATCTTCTTATATCTATTAACGTGAATCCTGTGAATGCTATGTTTTGGCATTGCACCATTTCTTTTTTCCTATACTATGACGTTTTAACCTTAAATCCATTGGATGTGTACTGATTGACATTTTGTCTTGGATGTATGATTTTTTAAATAGTCGTTATTGGCATGAAAATAGCTTGTTAATTTACGTTTTTTGATTGAGTTAAGCCTTCCAATTGATATTTTATAGTGTGTTTTTCTATGTTGTGATGTTATACTATTGTTTCAGAAAAGGGAGAAGGTTTGGTACCATTAAAACGTTTAATCCCGCTGCAAATGTTTGCACCTGTCCTAAGTCAGGAATCTGATGTTCAGTAGTTGTCGTTAGTTGATGTGGTTTATAAGTGTTTCTCGTACCTTGACCTATAATGGTTTACTTTTATAAATTGTAACTTGGATGGAGAGTTGTCTCATTGGCACTCATACCACATCTTCCTATATCTATTTAGTCACTGCGAGTACTCTTAGATTGATATTTTGCGACTTTATTTATGT